ACCTTAAAGAGCCCTTTATTGGTATAACATTTTTCTTCTGGGACTCAATAAATAAAACATCTTCTATAATATCTAAATGGCATTCCATTTAGTAACAACATTATGCCTCATGCTGATGACTAAAAACAAAGCTATAATCTGTAAATTTATCTTTTATTTTTAATCTGAAAATTACATACTTTAAAAAATAATAATGAAGCTTAAAGAAAAAGGATGGGAATAGAGACCAAGCATATCTCTTACGTACCTCTTAATTCACTCTCTCTATTCTGAGAACAAATTGCCTGGTACAATATAAAATGCACTGCTATTTGGGAGAAAATTTGCAACAGATAAGCTATCTCACATCTGGTTTCCTAGAATGAAGAACTTTGGGATAGCACAAACACAATGAAACAAATGGTGAATTTTTTATTCCTAATAAAATTATATTTTCATGTATTTTTGATCTAACATTTGAAATGACAAATATGTCCATATGCTTTACATTTTAAAAATGACCACTTAAGTTTTGATCCTTTACTTTTGTTTAAGACATCAGAGTCAAATCATAGACTTATCTAGGAAGCAGGTGAATATGTCAGATGGTGTTAATTAAAATATAAATCTGACCTATGCAAAAATTTATAGTTTAAAATTTTATTGAGCTGGGTGAGGTAGCTCATGCGTGTAATCCCAGCACTCGGGAGGCTGAGGCAGGAGGATCGCTCTGAGTTCGAGACCAGCCTGCACTACATAGTGAGTTCCGGGTCAATCTTGACTACGTAGTGAGACCCTGTCTCAAAAAACCAAAAATAAAAAAAAATTACCGAGTTTCATTCTGCAAAGAAATGGAGGAAGTATCTATGTGCATACACTAAAGATATTTTTTAAATTATTTTGATATTTTTATATTGGTAATGTTCATACTTTCAATGTGCTAATATTGAAGCAGTTATAGTATTTATGGAGTCAAATGAAAACTTGTATAGCATCTGCAAATTCTAAAATTCTGAGTCTGTACAACAGTTGTGACAGTTTCATAATTGTATAGATGCTAATAATTGATACTCAAAAATTCTTGTGTTTATATTATGGAGGTATTAAAATATTTGGTACTGGGGATCAATTCGGGATCTTGCACTTGTGAGGCAGGAGATGGCACCACTTGGCTAAATCCCCAGCCAGAAGGTCTTAAAGTGCTTTAATGTAACATCACTGTTATATAGTAATACATGATAAGAGAAGTGGATATCAGAAAATAGTTTTAATTTAAAAAATGAAAGTATGCTGCATACTTATTTGATATTTATATTGGCTCATTCATTATTAATATTTATATACACTCTGAACAATAGATTTGTTATTATTTGAAAAGTCTAAAAATTATCAAAGATCTTTAGTGTGATCCACTATACTATGTCTAGAAATAATAATTGAAATTCTCAATTGACGTAACTCTACACTTTAATTATATTAAACAAGATGCAAACAGGAGAGGTAGAAAATCAGTTTCTCTCTCCCTGTCTCTCTCTCCCTCTCACCCCCTCTTCCTTACCCGGAAGGACTGGGGTTAGGCAGGCGCTCTATCCTCGCATCACTCAACTACATCTCCAGCCTTGCCTTGCTCTCGCCCTTGCCCTTTCCTTTCCTTTTCAGACGTAACCGCAGTAAGTTACCCAGGCTGGCCTTGCACTTTGACCTTCTTGACCCAACCATGTCCGATATCTGACTTCTTTTTTAAACAATGAGAATGTAGAGATAAAGGCAGGATAGTTTCAGCAGTTGGAGGATCGCAGAGGATAAACCACTTCTGCTTGGAAGATTCCCAAATGTTCCACCAATGAGAACTTACTTACCAGAATGTTCAAAAGGGCGGGTGGGGAAAATATTACCCAAGGAAAAAGTACAATATGTTTTTAAGAAGAGAGCGTATATTTAAGAGAAAGGGAACTCAACTGAGATCAAGCTGCCTTTGTTCAATGCCTACTCTGCACCTGGGCCAAGATAATATATTTATATAGAAGTCAATAACTCTCTATACTGAGCAAGGCTCCTGTGAATTATATTCCTTGTCTTCAGCTTTATAAAAGATTCAGCTATTCTAGGCTTAATTTCAAATTAGAGTTAAAGAACATTAGTTTTATGTCAAAAGGAAAGAGAAACCTACTTGAACTCATTTTACTACTGTTGAATATAGTTTGAAATATAGGGTCCAGTTGGAAGATTTTGTGGTAGCATGCACAATCACTTTTCTTTAAACTTCATCAACATTTCTCTGGTTTGAATTCTCTTCTGTAGTTATAACTGTAGGAAAGGTGTGTTAACCTACAGAAGTGATTCAGAGAGTTGGAATGGCAAAATATTTACTGAGCATTCTATTAAAGATCAGCTGCTATAAGTTAGTTTATGATATATATATGTATATATATCATAAATCAATCACTGATGCTAATATATCTGCTAAATAATAATTAATAATACTGAATCATTTTTATTCAACTCCTGACTCTTTCAATGATGAATTAAATCCAGAGCAAGGGAAGGGATTCTGGAGAAGAGAGTCTCCAGGAAACGATGGGCATAGGAATTCAGCAGACGCCTCTTCAACACCATCATATTTACATGCAGAACAGCTCTTTTCTAAACCTAATCATGGGTATGGGTGTGTCTATACTAATGAAAAAAAGACTACTGTTCATTATTTCACTATTGTAAGGAACTTTATTAAAATAAAAACGCTATCCTTTCTGGAAAACAAGGAAAAACAACTTTGGTGTGTTCCCTTTTCATGTGACTGAACTAAAACTAAATGAAAAGGCTTTTCTGTTATTTGTTTATGGTTATTTTTAATCAACATATTTTGATCATAACTAATGACTTTGTTAAGCTGACAAATACTAATCTTTTATTTCTAAACAGGTACAAAGATCTCAACATGGAGATTTTTTTTCTATTTTTAGTGCCATTTCAATAATTTTGTTCTAGTAAAAAGAAAGAGCATGGACTCCTAGGAACATGGAAAAGTCTCTCTAACTGATATTTTAAATTTTTCTATTTCTTTTGTTCATGCTTACATCTTTGTTTGACTCTTTTGAATTCTGAGTTCTGTAAGGAACAGAAAATACATCCAATGGATATCATTTAGCACTCATTGAATTCTGTTGAATGCCACATATATTTTTTCTCAAAATCAAGAGTAATACCTGAAATATTGAACCCTAAAATCCAAAATTTGGTTTAAGTGTCCACAGGAGTTGCCATTCTTTGCTACTTAGTGGACCATAATAATCAATATCAGTTGCATTAGTTAGAAATAGAGAACTGGAATTCTTGAATCAACATTTTTATTTTAATAGGAGAGAGCCCTCTATGATACATATATTCTTAAAGTTTGTAAAAGAATATACTTTGTACTGGTTTTTCTATGTTTATTCACAAAAAATTATCACTCTTATTTTCCCAACATTTTGCAAATAAAAGAGCCAGTTTATTTTTTTATCCTTACTGAGTTTATTGGTACAATTTAGGTATACATTACAGTTACATTCATCATTGGGATCTTGTACCTTTACATGACTGAGATTCCACCTCATCCCACAGAGAATGGCTGCTATCAAGAAATCACACAATAACAAATGTTGGCAGGGTTGTGGGGAGAAATGAACCCTTCTCCATTGTTGGTGAGAGTGCAGACTGGTGCAACCACTGTGGAAATCAATATGGAGATATCTCAAAGAGCTGGGACTAGAGGTTCCATTTGACCCAGCCATCCCTCTGTTGGGTAACTTTCCAAAAGAATTAAAAGAATCATATCACAGTGATATATGCGCACCTATGTTTATAGCAGCACAGTTTGTAATAGCTAAAATGTGGAAACAGCCCATTTTCTCATCAGTTGGAAGCTGGATAAAGATGTGTTTTTTCTGTAAAAGGGAATATTACTCAGACATAAAGAATGAGAAATTAGATTCATTCATAGGAAAATGGATACATATTGAGGATATACTCCTAAGTGAAATAAATAAGTCACATATGTGTAAATACCGAATAGTTTCTCTGGTGCCAGTTTATTATTAGGGATCGAACTCAGGACCTTGCACTTGCAAGGCAGGCAGCAGCACCACTGAGCTAAATCCCTGGTGCTTAGTTTATTATTTATAATATCCCTATGCACTTGACAAGTAGAGTACTTCCCATATGAATGACATTCGTTATATTTTTATTAAAATTATTTAGTAAACTGACATAAAATTCTATGAAATTTATACCTTTATAGTTCCTATGACCCAGGGAGGCAAAATTATTTTCCTCCAGACTAAATTCTGGGAATGTTATTATAATATTTTACAATGTTTAAACATTTTAATTATTGCATGCTATGTATGAAGTTGAGCATAGCACTGTAATACACACATACACTGTGTAGTGAGCAGCTTCCTGTAAGTGTCACATCCATGTCCTTGGCATTTATTATTTCTTTGTGTTTGTAAGATTCAAAAGGACTGATTCATAAATTGAAGAGTTTTTTTAAGTGTAATTTTATTTTAACTGTAATTAGTAAATATTTGTAAGCATATATGTCAGGAAAATTTTAAAATTATTTACAGATATTGAGTATTTCCTTTTTCTAAACAGATTGCTTGGTCAAGCATAGTCTATGTTAAATAAAGGATGATTTGTGATATCTCTTTTAATATTTATGTATGTTTTTTCCAGTATTGCTCAGTTTTATTTTAGGTGATTAATTAACATGTCAAAGTTAATATAAAATGTTGATATTGAAGCAATTTTCTATTTTTTGTGATTTTTAAACTTTTCTACATTATTTGAAAGTAAATTTTGTTATAAATGGAATGTTCCTGCTTGGTATTAAAAGAGAAAATCAAGATATTTTATAGGAGCTTATGTTCCATTTCAGAATTAAAAATACCCTGAAAAATTCAAATTTCATATTATATTGTGCATGTTATATGTTCTATGCATTACTCATTTATTTATGTGTGATTTTCTATTTAAAGGGAGGGAAAATCCCAATTCGGTGGACATCACCAGAAGCAATAGCTTACCGCAAGTTTACATCAGCCAGTGATGTATGGAGTTATGGGATTGTTCTCTGGGAGGTAATGTCTTATGGAGAGAGACCATACTGGGAGATGTCCAATCAGGATGTAAGTATGTATTTGTAATTTCTGAGTTATGAGTTCAGATTTTAAAAATCAAGCTGTGCAAGGAAGTGGAGTATAATGAAACCAGATGCTCCTACTTTATGACATTAAAATAGAATGGAATACTTAGCAGAAATGAAACTATTTCCAAGTTTTACAAGGATATTAATTACATTGTTCTTATGGCCTCACATGTCTCCATCAAGCAGGAGTTTAGGGCTGTGACACAATGAAATATCTTTTGGTTAAACATGAAATAGCAAGTGACCCATAAGAAAATCAAACATATATCATGAAGTATTTGAATTTTTTTTTACAAAGTTGTTTCTTGTAATTTTAAGATGCAAGTTTCCCATGCTTTTTTTTATTAATTTAATGTATCTACTCCAGTATTTTGTTTGCTTCAATTTAGTATTTCACAAAATGAAACAAAATAATCAATCTCTACCATGTTGTTTCTAGTAACTTGAGCACCAATTTTGTTTATAAAATTTGAAGTCTCTAAATAGAGAAATTAGTTTTCTATTACAACTGTCATATGATTTTTTTCCAAAGGTAGTTTGGTTGTATGGCTTATATTTTGCTAATGCTTAATAAAAGGATGTTATTAGTATATGAAATCAGTACTTTATTCTTAACCACAAACTTTGAGCATAATCCCAAGAATATATAAGTAGCCAACCTGAGATGTTTTCAGTCATTTGCTATTCACTAACTTACAAATTTGCTTCTAAGGCATGTAGATAGATGTGTTTTCTTTATTAACATGATTTTAAAAAATAATTCTAATAAAAACAGTCAGGCTCCATTGTCTGCATCTCTCTCTCTTTTTTTTTCCTACTTCTCTTCATATCTGAGAATCTCAAAGTATAGCCTCTGGACAAGAACTTTTACCACTGCCTGGAAATTTGGTACAATATAAATTCTCAGGCCTTATCTCAGACCATGGATTCAGAAAAGGAAAAATTGAGGCAATAGTATTCTGTGAATTAATAAGTCCTCCAGATGTTTCTGATACATATGAAAGTTTAAAAATCCTCTTTTTGCATGTTTTTAAAATACTAATTAACAGCTACTTAATTGTGTAGCATATAGGATTCTACGAGAGGAAGTTGCTATGGTTTGGGACCATAAGAACTGTGGTAGAGTGAAAATCTGTATATTAATTTTCATTGCATGAATTCATATAAGACTTCCATGATGATCTGTATAAAAATAATAATAGTTATATCATGTATATATAATAATTTCCATATCATGGAACATTTCTTTTTATTTTAATCTGACAAAGGTCTTTATGAACATTTCACTAAGTTTATTGTGCCTAATTTGATTTTCCTTTATTTGTAGTCATGAATAATTTGTCATTTTTATGATCAGCTATTATGACTTTACTCAGTTTACAATGAAAGCTTTTAAACTTAATTCTAAGCTATTCGTATCAGTGTGAATGAAATAAAGTGAGCCCCACTTTTTAAGTCTATGAGAACTATACCTCTCACACAGGTAATTAAAGCTGTTGATGAGGGCTATCGCCTGCCACCTCCAATGGACTGCCCTGCTGCCTTATATCAGCTGATGCTGGACTGTTGGCAGAAAGACAGAAACAACAGACCTAAGTTTGAGCAGATTGTCAGCATTCTGGACAAGCTCATCCGGAACCCCGGCAGTCTGAAGATCATCACTAGTGCAGCAGCGAGGTGACATGTTAGATTTTGCATCCTGCCCTCGTTATGAAATGCGTGTGTTTTTTCTCTTTCCTACTCTTCTTGCATTCTTTGAAACTTGTAATTCTCAAGAATAGAGAGAGATGTGCTTTCTTTCTTTCTTTTGGAAGAATTATCGTGCTACGTAATAGTGATGATGATATTCTGAAGTATTTTTAATTTCAATAGTTGAGCAGAAGTATCTCCACATCTAGGCTTGTTTAAATCTTTGGGAAATTAGAAACCTAGACATATAGCTTTATCTTGCTCTCTTGTTACAAAAGAAAAAGAAAAAGAAAGAAGGAAAGGAGGGAAGAAGGGAATGAAAACTTTTGGATTTGTTGCTAATTCCAGGGAAGTCAGATTCTTTTTTTGTTTGTTTATTTGAAATCTTCAAAAACTAACAATAGCAATACATCCAAACATTATATTGATTAATGGAATTCCTTTCCTTCTACTTTATTAAACAAAAGATCTTAAATGTATATTGGGTACCAATCACTCTTCTAGACAGTGTTAATGATAAAAGTCAGGGTAAAATAAGGTTTATTTCCCAAAATAGCAGCACACATGTAAATACATACATCTTAACTATAATACAGTACATAATACATAATGTCCATTAAATTTTATGTATATTTCTTACAGTGAAGAATGAACTGAATTTTCTCAGTGTTTTTGAATATTATAGAGTATAGTGCACCTATGAATTACAATGGAGAAAATGAGGAAAGAGATAAATTTTGTCAAGGTCCAGATAAGAAGAAAGAAAGTATATTAATAAGTTGAATACATCTCAGGCAAACTAAAGGAAAAGCTGCCTGTCTTGTTCAGTAATGTAGAATTTCACTAACATATCAGAGAAAAACAGATCTTCTGATCATGTGTGTTATTACAGGCTTGTAAACTTTTGTTCTGATTTATTATATAAATTATTACATATTTCATACTTTAAAAAATTCCTCCTGACAACTAGAAGAAGCACTTTAGAATTTTTAGTTGTGTAACTATGATCAATAGTTTTAAAACTAGTGAGCCCAAAAGTACCTTGACAAATGTAATGGAGTTTACTCATGAATGACTTGTGGCCTACTGCACACTTTCATGAAACTTTGGTTAACCAGTTGTCTTTACTAGTGTCAAATGTACTATTGCAATTACCATTCATGTTAGCCTACCCTGTTGTTTACATTGCTATAGGGCATGGTAACTAAAGCTGTCATCCATGTATGGGCAATTCCTTGATTATCACCTTATTTGTTTGATGAGCAATAATGAATGAATATGTATGTGAATACATAAAGACATAAAAAGTTTAATTAATTATCTTTTCATATAATGATTTAAAATTGATATTTAAAGCAATATTTTAAGAAATTAAGATTAATGACCTCCAAATCTGTAGGGACAAATATTAAAATTTAAGTAAAAACAGACCAGAGTAAAGCTAAGCAATGTTGGAGCATAAGGTGAAAGTAAATATAAGCTCCCCCATGTATATGTGGGTGTGTATTTTATTGTAATATTATCAACAAATAAAACTGTATATTTTTAAATTATGCAACATGATGTTTGATAAACATATACAATATAAAATGATTCTAAAATTCACACTGATTCACATACCCATCACCACACGTGGTTACTTTGCAATTTAATTTTATGTAGTTTTGTGGCAAGATTACTTAGAACCTTTCAAAGCAAATTTCAATTTCATATTAATATATGAGTTGTTTATAGTCACTATGATATATATTATGTCTCCATAGATTATCCATCTTATAAATTCAAGTTTATTTGCCTCGACAAATATTTTCTTATTTTCCCACTTTCTTATTTCTAGCAGCACCTATGTTTGTTTCTGTGTTACTCCTTTTTAAATTCCACATATAAGCAAGATCATGCAGTAGTTGTCTGCTTTTAGCATATAACTTATTTTACTTAATGTGATGTCCTCCAGATTTATCCATGTTACAACTACCAGTATTTCTTTATTTTTAAGGATGAATAGTATCTACAGAACACTTTCTTAATCCATTCATCTGTTGATATTTTGATTATTTATATCTTAACTTTTGACAAATGTTGCAATAAATATGAGAGTAACAAATATTCTTTAAGATAATGATTTTATTTTCTTGAGAAATATGGCCAAAATTGAGATTGCTAGATTGTATCATAGTCCTACCTTGATTTTTCAAGTCGCTATCCAATTTACATTCATACCAACAATATTTGTTTAAACTGCATCATCACAACACTGATTATTTTTTGGTTGTGGGGTAATAACCATACCAACAGATGTGACTTCTATATATGCCTGATGATTCTTTTTTTTTTTTTAATTTTATTTTTTGGTACCAGGGATGATAGAACTCAGAATCTTGAGCTTGTGAGGCAGGAGGTGGCGCCACTCGGCTAAATCCCTGACCCATCCCTGATGATTGCTGACATGAGAATCTTAAAGAAATTTTATAGAAATTCAATGTAAAAATGGAATTATGTATGCAAACTCAAACTTGATTAAAGACTTGACTTTAAGACTTGTTCCATAAAACTCTTTGAAGAAAACGTGAAGGAAAGCTCCATTACAATGGTCTTAGTAATAATTTTTTGATCATAGCCCCAAAGCATATGCAGTGAAAGCAAAAATAAAATAATACTACATCAAACTAAAAATTTTCTGCATAACAAATACACGTATCAAAAAAAGGGGAAACCTATAGATGGAGAAATATTTACAAACCATATATGTAATAATGCTTAGATGTCCAAAATATATCAGAAACTCATAAAATTGAATATGACCAAGCAGATATCCAATAAACAACTTGACTAAAAATTGGCAGAATATTTGCATAGAAATGTTTCCAAGGAAGGCATACTAATGGCCAATGAATACAAGAAAAGATTCTCATGTCAGGGGATCTGAATCAAACTCAGCATCAGTACATGAGAGTAAGCGTTTATGTGTTAAAAATATCATTTAGGGGTCACTAAGATTGAATTTAGTGACAGATCTTTAGATACAAATTCTCATAACTTATCCTAAAAGACTGAATCTCTGTTTTAAACTTCATGAGGAGAGTCAGTACAGGCTCTTTGAGAAATCTATCTGACAGTTTAACAGCTAACAGGATAAAAAACCTCTCCTTGCTTGAGCCATATGGTCTTCATTTTACACCTTGAAGCCATTTCTTTTGATCTTTACTCAATAGTAGTAGCAAAAGAAAGGCATCTTTTAAACTTATTTCCATATCACAAAAAGACATTTAAACCATTTCTACAGAAAGATATCATCAATAAAAAGATAACTTATGCAATCCTACCTGAGGAAATTTAACCTCAAGTTTATAAGTGAAGGTAGTCTTAATATCAGATTATAGTAGGCGATAGTGTTCCCTAACATCCAAACTTTAATATTCTTTCTTACTTGATTTTTCCCGTATATATGGAACTTTTTCTTTAGGATGTTTTAACACCTGAGCATTTTCCATATATTTTATCATAAATTGTTTAATCTTAGGAAAATTATAAACTTTTTTTCTATGAAGCACAATTGAACTTAACTAAATAAATGCAAAAATTTTGAGTACTATATGTTTACTTATAACTGGGTAGACTGTCATTCAAAGTTATTATCAATAATGTCACATTGACACATAAAGATCTGAATAATTTTTTCCTGTGGAAAATTTCCTTTCCCACATTTGGGAATTATTATTTCATTTCATCCTTGATTAAATTAATTCTCCCCTTTTAAAATTTGTTAGTGATCACATTGAAAATATACTTGTTTGAAAAAAAATATACAGTCATTGTGTAGGTGGGAACTTCAGAAAGAAAAACAAAGAAAAGAAAAAAACAAATGAACAAAAAGGAAGTACACTGGCATCTGAGTCACCCCTCTTGTATTTTTTCTAATGATAGTTACCTTTAATTATCAGAGGCAAATCCTTCTCCTTCTCACTCGCTTCCTGTCTCCTTATCTTTCATATATCTCTGTTACTTCTTTCTGCCTGATCACTGTCACATAAATATATCCTATTATATTATTTCTCATCTTTCCTTGGTAATAAGAGTCACCTGGGGAATTTGTTAAATATGTGACTTTCCCAACATACTGTTTCATCATCCTTAGGAAAGGAGAATAGAATGTGGTTTTCCTCCTTGGGTGACATGGAGAAATACTGCTTGTCAGCATCATCATATTGGCCACACATCCCTGTCCACTGCCTCGTTACACTCTAACACTCTTCACAGCCAGACTTCTCCAATAATGACCCCATACACATCTCAAACTTTCTGAAAAATCCATTTTCCTGAAGTGGACCCTGAATTTATCACTGGCCTATCATATGAACAACTTGAGTTAAGACCGGAATTTTAGTTATAACTTATGACCAAAGTCTTGAGTTATGACCCAAATGCTGGCTGCTTGTGCTACCGGATGATCTCAGATCAGATTCCTTAAAAAATAATTTTATTAGCACATTTTAGGTATACAATATAATAGCACTCACCATTGATTTGTACCTTTACATAATATATCTTGATTCTTATTTTTTCCCAATTCCCCTGCTCTCCCTTCAACCCCTCCACCCCCTCTACTTACGAAGACTTTATTTCTTTTTTTTTTTCATTTTCTCATGTTAATTCCATTTCTGTGTTTCCTTTCCCCTACCCTGCCCACTTCCCTGTCCCCTTTACACCTTTTCTTCCTGTTTAATCCTTAAAGAGTTCTGGAAGGAATATTACAACATCCTTTCCTGTGTGGGATTAATTGAGAAATCCTGGGCCAGTGTCTCTCCGAGGGCACTGAAATCTGCCTGGAAGAAAACCTGAACTAAACTTATACAGGAGAGACTTTAAAGGCAATTGACCAACTTGGGAATGAATTGAGTTTGTGAGTCAAGGGTCCACTGTATTTTCTTCTGCTAGCCAATCCCTTCCCTTTTTCCTCCCTCCATGCCTCCCTCCCTCCCTCTCTCCCT